CCATGGCCATGGCCTGGGCAGTCCTAGCCGCCTGTGGCCTCTTGACCTCCAGTCGGCTGGTGACTGGGCACCTCCCTCCGGTCGTGGTTACTGCAGGGGCTCTGGTCCCCCAGGAGCTGTTCATTGCCCCTTGACTGAGTGGGGATTGCGGAAGCTGCCAGGAGTGAAGAGAGGGTGTCTAGACGGTGCTTCACATCCACCTACGATAGACAGAGGGATGGGAGCCATGAAAGAACGGGTTTACTGGGGAAACTGGGCCCCTGGGGGGCAGATTTCCGGCTACTGGTTGGTGGGGGTCTCTGGGCTGGTCAAAGCCTTACCCCTCGCTCCTGTCTCAGTCAGGGTGCCCCAGCTTCAGCTGTGAGGGGCTGAACCTGCCCCCCACCCTGAGAAATGCACAGGAATAGAATTGCTTTGATTGTGTTCTGAGCAGACAGAGTTGACAGACACACTAGAACGAGTCCTGATCTATGATCGGAGAAGTCAGGCCGAGTCTTCCTACAAAACGTTCCTCGAAATCTTCCAGGTAAATGCCAGCTGGTGCCTTTCAAACCCACCACAAGCATCCCGCGCCCCTCCCTGGTGGAGGAGGGGCCTGGAAGTACTGGGGCGCTGGGAGGCGGGTGCAGCAAGGAGGGGGCTGTGTGGAGGAGGTGGATGTCCTGGGCCATTGGAGCAGGGACAGTGCTGGGGACACGCAGTGTTGAGGGCTGAGGGCGTTGGGCAGAAGCAGGGAGTGGGAGCCTGGCCCTTGAATGGTGGGGCTCCAGTGCTGGGATGCAGGGCGTATCTTTTGGGGAGATGCCTCTGCCAGGAACCTCTCAGCTCATGAGGACGGACTGCTTGGGCCTAACCAGGACCTGTGAAGAGATGGGTGTCTAGGGACGGCTGGGACTTCAGCAAGGGGGTGGTGTGCCAAGTCTGGAGGAGACAGTTGTGCAGCCCATGGGGGTGGAGGGCGTTTGGTCCACGAGGAGCATGTGTGTGTGATGCTGGGGTGTCCCGTTCAGAGCATCCAGTGGGGTGTCAGCAGCTGGGGGTGGGGGCTGTGGGGAGAGTTGGCAATGTCTGTTGGTGGGGGCTTGGGGCAGCTTCAGGGCCAGGCGGAGAAGCCCAGCGTGGGTGTGGCTGGCCGCGGGCCGCAGTGAGGCAGGACCGGGGGTCAGTGAGGTCCTGGGGGCTTGCTGACAAGCGTTTGCCCCTTGCCGCCTGCAGTGGGCAGGCGGCGGGGGGGGGGGCAGCTGTGACAGGCACGCGGTTGGGAAGGGCCACATCTTCCCAGTGTCCCCTGGCTGTGTGATTGCCCCCTGCCCCTGAGAGACCACTTGCTCTGACCAACAGCTGTTGAAAGAAACCATAATTGTGGGCCAGAACATCGGACCACCCATCAGCAGCCAGGTTCGAATCATGGTTGTGAAAACATTTTTGGATTTTCTGAACAGGTGAGTGAGAAGGCAGCCCACCCAGACGGGGGACGTGGACGCTGGGTCCATCTAACCCAGGTCAGAGCACTAACCAAGCCACCGGCTGTCAGCCACCAGGCCAGGGCCAGTTGCCAACACAGGGGAAGGGGCTGGGGGTGCTTTGGGTCCCCCTAGTCCTGCTGTGGCTCTGGAGCAGCCGTGTGTCAGGTGGAGACGTTAAGCATGGAGGCACCAGCTCCGGAGGCTGTGTGGCTTGTTTCATGGGGGAAAGGAAGTTTAAATTGTATTTAATTTTAACTGATTGACATTTGAACAACTCGTGGGGCTCATGACTCCCATGCTGGATGGCAGGCTGGGCTTAGGCGGAAGCCAGGGAGGGGAGTTGTAGAAGATCAGGGTCAGATCCTGTCCGTATTTAAAGTATGTGCATCGTAGGTTTTTTTTTAAAAAAAATTGCAATAAAATATTATTTCTCTCAGTTTCTGAACTTTCGGGTTCTGCCTTAGACCTTGCAGCCGAGGTGTCTCCCACCCCCACCTCTGGTTTTCCCAGCAGGACCTGCTGTCCAGTCCGAGCCCCACACCCAGCTCTGCCCTGGTCGCTGGATTTGGGAGGGGCTCTGCCTCTTTCCTAAGGGGCTCCGGCGAGGAGGTGTGTCGTAGAGTCCTGGGGCATGTGGACTTCCCAAGAAGAAGTTTGGGGCAAATCATGGTGTGTGGTCACATCACGAGGCCCCCTTTCCTGGGGTCTGCAGAGTGGCTCTGTTCACCTGGGTCGAGGGTCTCCAAAGGGCTGACACCAGGCAGGTTACTCAAGAAAGGCCAAAGACGTGGATTTTTAAGTGAAATCAGCCAGGCTGGCTCGTTGCTTTCTTTCTTTATTCTTTTTTTTTAAACTTTAAAATTTTAATTTTACAGCCAGGTTTTAAATGTTTAAGAAAATACTGCTGGGTGGCCAGTCTAAGACCCTGACCTGCGTTCTCGGGTACAAGGACCCCCTTCCTTTGCTGTCTTTGGGGAGCAGCGAGGCCTGCGCCCTCCCCAGCCCTCTCCACACTCTCTGCTTCAGGGCAGCTGCAAGGGCCGAGGCAGGAGGTAGGCGGCGGGCCCCCCTCCTCGTGGGCATCCTGGACTCTCCTCAGGGGCCGTCTTTCCTTGCCTCTTCCTCCACTTGGTGGGGTGGATGCAGCATTAGCGGTGACACCAGACCACAGGAGAAAGCCACTCCCACTGTGTTCTAGAAGCATTTAGCACAAAGAATCATGGAGAGCACTGCATGAAAAAATCCTCTGAAAGCATCTGGCTTAGGCGGCTGGGACAGAGCCAGGCCAAGTTGTCAACATCTTAACTATTGTCACCCACATTTGTGATTCTATGAAAGAGGTGGCAGTTAAGCTGAGAAAGGAGAAAGGCTCAGCTGGGTGGGGCGGGCCCAGGGGAGGGGCCTGCACCTCTGCCTTCACTTGCAGATACCAGAAGGAGGGTGCTCCGAGCTTCATCCAGCTGCACGCCAGTGCCGGGACCTTCCCCCAGCTGCACGTGCTGGAAAACTGCTGCATTCTCAGGTGTGTCCCTGCTGTGTCCCAGATGAGGGCAGGGGGCTGGCAGAGCTGGGTGGCCAGACCTCGGACCTGGGGGGCTGATCTGTGTGGACTGCAGACTTGATGCCATCTGTGAAAAAAGGGGGAAGAACATCGCCCTCGTGTATATCCAGTTGCACAATTTCGTACTGGAAATGCCAGATGCCAAAAACACTGGCTGCCTCTGGAGAGAGTTTTTCACTGTACCTTTTGCATTTGAAGCCATGTGGATGTAACACTTATTCCATAAAGAAATACATTCAGAAGAAAGAGTAGGGACGAGATAGATGATAAGAGCCGCAGGAATGGTTTGTCCGCGGCTGCCTGGGGTGGGGAGCCGACGGTGGGTGTGCAGCTTGGGAGCTGTGGCTGGGCTCCTGGCCAGGCCCCATGGGCCCCTTTGGTTGCCCCCAACAGGAAAACATGGGAGGCTCTGGTCCAGGAAGGCTCGGTGCAAGGCATCATCAACAGCATTGAGGTCTGGAGCCAGGACGACCTGCTGATCAGGGTCAGAGCCCTGTTCCAGGTGATGCACCCCTGACCACCGCACCCTGGGGTGGGGTCTTGCTGCTCCCAGGGAATGAGGCCTGTCTCCATTCTCACCCAGGGCACCTCCCTGGGCAGGGCCCACTTTTGCATCTCTCTGTTGCCTCGGCCAGACCTGCCCTGTCCTCTCTCTACCTGCGGAGTCACCATCCTGCCAGGCAGGCCAGCTGAAGGCTGACACCGACTCCCCCAGGCCTGACCCCTGCCCCCTCCCTCCAATCCCACTCTGACCCAAGTGCCTCCCCAGGCAGGCGCAGCCCCTCCACTGTGTTCCCAGGGCCTCTGTGCCTCCCCACAAGCCATGGCTGCCTCCAGGCTCAGGCCTTGCCCTGGGAGTTGCCCGAGGCCTGACCCAGGAGCTGAAGCTTTGAGAGGACAGGGTGGCCTCCCAGATGTGGTTCGGGGCCTCCTGGGTTCCATTCAACTTCAGGCTGAGGGCAAGGCCCACACCATCCTCTCCCCAGGGACCTACTGGGCAGGAGGATGGGGAGGTGGGAGGTGCTAGTGAGGGTGGGCCTCCATCCCTGACATCCCACAGCTCTAACCAGTGACCCACTTTCCACTGTGGGAGCTGGCTTCTGGGTAGCTGCCACTGGGTTTTCCACAGCGGTCTGAGCACCTGGCTCAGTGTCGCATGGAAAGATCCAGAACGGTCGTGTCCTCCCAGGATGGCAAAGGCAGAAGAACTTGCCCTTGTCTCGCCCTGAACTGTGCAGACACTGCTAATCAATCCCAACTTTCTGCTCTGCTCACGTCCTCTCTGTGCAGAGCTCCAGGCAGCCGCAGCTAACTGATTGGCTCGACAACATGTTTTGCAGATGATGCTCCCGAGGCTGCATCATTCAGACAGGGCGTTGGAGGGTTGTGTCTGGGACGGGATGCTTGGGCTCCCTGACTAAACATTTGGTTTTGCCTCCCCTGCTCATCCCCTGGGGTGTCTACTGAGACCTGAGCTGGCTGGGGCTGCACTCAGGTGGGGCTGGCTGTGTCCCCCACCCCCATGTCTCTGGAACTCAGACTTGGGGCAGCGAGCATCACTGGGGTCTTGGGCCATGCTCTGGTGCTATGGGGACCCAGCGGAGAGAGGAGGGGCTCTAGGAGGACTGGTGGGCTCCGGGGCAGGAGCTTGCACCAACGTCTGTGGATTGAGCCTGGGATGCTCTCAGGAGTCAGCAGGAGAAGGCGGACAGAGCTCTGGGGCAGACCGGGGAGGGGGTTGGGAGGGTGGTGAGCCTCTGGGTCCTGTGATGTGGGTTCAGGGGAGGTGGGGACTGCAGGGCTGGAGGGGAGGAAGGATGAGGGCTTGAGGGAGCACAGCTGCCTGGGTGCCTCAGGCCCCAGTTGCATCTGACCCTCCTGTCCTCAGAGTCGGCTGGAGCATCACTTTTCGACGAGGAATGATGGTCTGGTCCAAGCTCTGCAGTCCCTGCAGCAGGCCCTGAAGGGCTGCTCCAACATGCACAGCACTCCCACATACAAGGTAGGGAGGAGCCGAGAGTGGACTTCCCTGGGGGTTGGCCCTGCATGGCTGCTGGGACCCTGACCCCCGAATGCGGGCTGGAGTCTCAAAGGGCTGTGGGGACCCTGTTACCAATGGGGAGGCCCAGGGCCAGAGACAGGCAGAGCAGAATGGCCCTCGTTGTCCCTCTGGCTCTGGGTCTCCTGAGGGAGGCAGACTCAGGGAGCTGATGTGACAAGCTGACGGTCACCCTGAGAAGGTGAGGCTGGCTGCCTCTGTGCCCCAGTGATTAGGGTTAGACCTTCAGGGTAGGGGGCAGGCCCCACAGACCCATGTAGACAGTGTTTACGGAACATCCTGCGCCCTCCCTTCCCGTCCCATCCTGGAGGGAGAGCCACTAAGGCCACTTGGGCCATGTCCTGGGACCATCTTCAATCAAGCCTTTGTGTCTTCTTGTCTTTTGGGGGGACAGGTCCTTGTGAAAAGTCTGTACACGGTGGTTTTGGGGGAGTATGTCCATGCCCTGGTCACCTATCTCAAGACGCTGGAGCCTGGGGTGTGGGCGGACCATGAGGGTCAGGTGAAGAAGGAAGTCTTGGAGCTGGACACAATTTTCGGGGAGCGGGAGGTGAGCCGGAGACCCTTGGGTGGGTCCGAGTGCGGGGCCTCCGCTCCCCCTTTCCTGGTCCTCACGTCCTGCCCTGCCCCCTGCCAGCCTGGGGCTGGCTGTCTGCTCCGCCTCTGCCTGTTCCGGGGCCACCGGCTTTCACAAGGCTGGGAGCTGTGGGGCGGGGACGGGGCAGAGCCCTGGTCAGGACAGGCTGCGGGAGCTTGGGCGGCGACAGACAGGTAGGACCCCACTCTGCCAGGCAGTGCAGGTCCTGGGGCCTGTGAGCGACCCCGGGGCGTGGGCTTGTGCTGGGTGTGGCGGACCCAGGCTTCCCTGGAGGAGGCCAGGGGCACACACCCCGGCTCACCCACCAGCCATTCCCAGCAGGACGTGGATGACAGAATGCCCTGCTGGGAGACCATCAAGGACATCTTCCAGCTCAGACAGAACAGGAGCAGAGAGTCTCTGCATGAATGGCTGGCCTCCTTCAGAGACGAGTTCCCGGGTTATGTGAGGTGAGAGGGAGAAGGGGGTGGGGCAAGCTTACGGAGCTTGGGGCAGGGCTGGGTGAAAGGCAGGGGTCCTCAGGTCTGGAGGGTCAGTTGGGACCATCCCCTGCCTGGGGGTCATGAGAGGGGCTGGTCTCACCGCCCCCTGCTGCCGAGCTCGACTGAGCAGGGCCCTGGAAGCGCTCCTGTCTGGACGCCTTCCTAGTTTCCAGGGCTCCCTGGTAGGCTTCCCAGGGGTCTTGGGGAGGGAAATGTAGGTGGGGGCTTGGGGAAGCACCTAGTGTCCCAGCTGCCCTGGAAGAGATTGCTCTAGACGTCATTCTGGTCTTCACCGTGTGTGCCCCCGGGGGCGCAGACTCTGGGCCCGCGGCTGCACTGGCCCAGTGTTCACAGGTGCACAGAAGCCCTCTTTTTGCTCCCAACAGAGAGGACTGGCCACGTAGTTCCAGTGACTCGGACAAGAGAAGCTGTTGCTGTCTCCAGCTTTGGACAAGGTGACCAGATGCGAGGCTTCAGGGCTCTCCTCCAGGGAAGGCAATGGGGCAGGATCCGGCCCTGGGCGGGGTGGCCGGGGAGGGGCTTCTGGGGTGCAGAGGGAGCCAGGCGGTGGGGCACAGCTGGCGCGTGGGTCCGGTAGCCGTAAGTGGACACTGGGGGCAGCTCCTTGTGCCCTAAGCCAGAACTTCTCAGATGTTCTGGTCGCAGGACCCTCTTTACTCTTAATTGTTGAACTTAAACTATAGAACATTAGCTCATGTGGGTATAGCTGTTGATAGTTATTAACATACTAGAAATTAAAACCAAGAGATATTTATTCATTCACTTATAATATTTATTCATTAAAAATAGTAGAAATTCATTAAAATACAAAATTAGTATTCTTGAAATAAATTATAAACAAAGTAAATAATAAGATTTATGAATAAATAGATTTGGAAACAAATTAGTATATATATAAAAAGAATATTCATTTAGAAATATTAGTTTATTTTTAAATAATGATAATAACCCCATAACTTAGTAACACTGATAATTTTTTTAGCGGGGGGAGGTAATTAGGTATTTATTTATTTTTAGAGGAGGTGCTAGGGATTGAACCCAAGACCTTGTGCATGCTAGGCAGGCACTCTACCACTGAGCTATTCCCCTCCACCAACAATGATTTTTAGATGAAAAAAATAAGTAATTTTCTGAAACAATAACAACAAACAATGATATGGGGGTAACTGTTCTACATTTTTTGCAAATATCTTGAGCTTGCTGAGAGACAGGTAGACTCTCATATCTGCTTCTGAGTCCAATCAGTTGTGATATGTTGTTTCAGCTGAAGTGTGTGAGGAATGTTCAGGCTCTCATGCCCCTGGCCACTTCCCTCTTTGGGAAAAAGAGGGGTATTTTAATGCCTGTTTTAGGTAATTTGGCTATTCTTCTTTGCTAACACACCAAAACTGGACAGGAACTAGTTTGTTAAAAATGATCGACAGCATGGATCCTGAAACCATCTTGATGAATTTTATGAAATTTGCCTGCTCTGTGAAAGTCAAGTCTATTGGTCTGTCTCACACTTTGAATGGCTCTTTAACCCACATGTGCTTTTCTGACGTTAGATGTTTATCACGTGGCAAATACTGGCTCATGGAGCAGATCTTCTAGATGTTGACCCATTTTATTATATGTCATCCCTAAAGAAACTTCGTTAACATTGTCAATCTCACCAGGAAAGTATTTTGCTATTGGGAGTCTTAGACTCACAGTGAGAGACACAAGTTTTCCCAAATCCTCATTTTGCTGGAGTGCTCAAATTAAAAAATAGTTTTCTCTTTCTTTAGAAAAAAATTTTTTAAATTGGAGTTACCGGGAATTGAACCCAGGACCTCGTGTGTGCTAGGCATGCACTCTACCACTGAGCTATGCCCCCACCCAGCTGAGTGTTCAAATTTCTATCACTGGCAACAAAAACTTTCAGTTTACCTATAAGTAGCCACCTTGCATCATTCATTTTCAAAAATATGCCAATCAACAGCTCAGACCTGAGCAGGCAGAGTCTCTGAATTCTTAAAACAAGTGGCTAGTTCAGCTGGTAACTCACACAGGCAAATGCACAGATGCTTTTCCTCAGCCCCTGTCCCACACTTCGCAACAGAAGGGCTAGAGGTGGCCTTGGCATTTCATCCTATAAATGGAAAAGATGTATACTCAGGGTTGAGAGTTAATAAAAATAACCATTTTTACTGCTGATCAGCATGTTTTAAAGTGAAACTAGGTCCTTTTCCTTCTGTGAGTGCATAGTGGTGCTGGATCCAGCGATTACTGGTAGAGCTTGGTGCAGCTGCCTTGCCCTGGGCTGAGGTTCCAGCAGCCCTACCCGACAGGGCTTCTGCACTATTGGTGTAAATGTCAGCCCAGTGAGAAGGGTGAATAATGCTTTAGTATTATGAAAGGAGTTTTGACCTCATGGGTCCCCAGAATGATCTCAGGACCCTAGGATTCCATGGACCACACTTTGAGAACCACTGGCCTAGCTGATCTGGGTTCTTCTTCCCCTCTGCCTGCTTTAGACTGACTTACATGAAATTGCTGATATCGATCACATTTTTTCCCAATAAAAATGACGAATTCATTTATATCGTTCAAATAGATTATCTCCACGTTTTTGCATGTTCTGTTCCACCTACCTGGAATGCCCTTTCCCCCTGCTGAAATTCTTTTTCTTCTCGGTCTGGCTCCTAGACAGCCCCTAATCTGAGACACACATCAGTGTTTTCTTTGGCCAAGAGCTGTCTTGTCTGTGTCTTGGCAAATGTCTTGATGGTGGAGGACCAGCTGTGCTTATCTTTGTCTACCAGTGCCTGGTGGCGTGCTTGCTGCCCCAGATGGAGGTGGAGCTGAGCCCCTCTCAGGGCTGTGGAGGTTGTGTGGCTCTGACCAGCTAAGGCAGAGGATTGGAATGTTCCTGGCCACTTCACAAATGGCAGCCTGATATGGAGAAGGAAGCCAATCTTTCTCTGGACTCTTCTACCAGAAGGAATCTTGATACCAGACACCAGGAATACTCTGTGGTCCACCCAAAAGAACAGGAGGACAATGGGGATGGCCAGGGACAGATCAAGACACCCCTGGATGCGTCCCACCATCCTGGCTGTGTCGTTCCTTTCTTGTGTATGTAACAGTTTTATTGAGATATGTTTCTTTTTTTTTTAAACATTTGTTTATTGACTTATAGTCATTTCACAATGTTGTGTCAAATTCCAGTGTAGAGCACAGTTTTTCATTTATACATGAACATGCATATATTCATTATCACACTTTTTTTTCGCTGTGAGCTACAATAAGATCTTGTATGTATTTCCCTGTGCTATACAGTAGAATCTTGTCTATCTGTTCTACATTTTGAAATCCCAGTCTGTCCCTTCCCACACCCCGCCCCCTTGGCAACCACAAGTTTGTATTTTATGTCTGTGAGTCTGTTTCTGATTTGTATTTATGTTCTTTTTTTTTTTTTACATTCCTCATATAAGCGATCTCATATGGTATTTTTCTTTCTCTTTCTGGCTTGCTTCACTTAGAATAACATTCTCCAGGAACATCCATGTTGCTGCAAATGACATTATGTTGTCGGTTTTTACAGCTGAGTAGTATTCCATTGTATAAATATACCACATCTTCTTTATCCAGTCATCTGTTGACAGAGATGCATTTCATATACCATGCAATCCACCAACTTAAGTTTAATGTACCATTCAGTGGTTTCTAGTATATTCACAGAGTTGTGCAATCATCAACACAGACAACATTAGAACATTTTCATAACCTTTGAAAGAGACCCTGTACCTTCAGCTATTGCCCCAAACTGCTTTTCCCCACGTTACCCCAGCCCTAGACAATCACTACCCTACTTTAATATCTATGTAGACATGCATGTTCTAGACATGTCACACAAGATCAATTATATAAGTGAATGAATTATATACCTTTTGTGATCAGCTTCTTTCACTCAGCATCTTGTTTCAAGGTTCATCAATGTTGCGACTTGCATTGATATGCCATCCTTTTTATAGCTGAATAATATTCTATTTTATGGATAGTGCGCATTTTGTTTATTCAAACATCTGTTGATGGGCATTTGAGTTGTTTCCACTTTGGGGCTGTGATGCATAATGCTGCTTTTAACATTTGTGTACACATTTTTGTGCAGACCTTAGGAGTGGAATTCTACTTAGGAGTGGAATTCCTGGGTCAAATGGTAACTCCATTTAACTTTTTCAGAAACTGTAGTCTATTTTGCCAAAATGGCTGTACCATTTTACATTCCCACCAGTGATGTATGAGCTCCTCCAAGGATCTAAGTAACACACTCTAAAACTGAAGGATTATGCCCCCAGGTGGCTGTCACTGTGAAAACAGAGAATACCAGATGGGGAGGCACCACAAAGTCAAGATCAGAGAGCAGCTTCTTTTAACCAGAGGGGAGGGCGGGGAGCTGGAGGTGGGGCTGCTGGGAGGAGTCCCTCACCACATACCCAGGGGCCCCACCATCAGCAGAAAATAAAAATGGTCCTTACTTAAACCCACACTGAGGTCTCGGTTCCAAAATCCTTACGTGGAGAACCGGGGCGCTCAGCAGTTTCCACGGGTTTTATAGCTGTGCTTTTGCCTAGGTTTTCCAGTTTTTAGTAACGGCCAAATGCAAGCGTAAACCTTCTAAAACCGAGTTCCTTAAGCAGTTTCCATACTTGTCCTCTTTAAACGCTCGAGTTCAGCATTACCCACCCGGGAGGGCTCTTTGAGGCGGGGTTTGACGGAGAACACACGGCACCTCCTCCTGGTGACGGACAGTGTTTGCACGAGTCCTTCTCTCCTGGTGGTGCTGGCATTAGTTGACGTCTTGCTTCTGAGTCTTCTCTGAGGTCCAGAAGACACCAAAGGCAGCCAGGCAGGCTCTTGTGCTGGCGAGACGGGCTCATCTTCCGGGTGCGATGCGTCCTTATGCCCAGCGCTCTGGGAATCACAGCTACGCTGAAGTAGATGGCAGCCTGGCACTTCAGTCTCCCTCACAGCCTGGAATTGCAATATTCTGGATATCGTTGTTGTTTCGCGTTTTTATGTATATAGTATGACATACTTAGCATGTCTGTATTTCTGCATGTTAAACTGAGTGCAAATTAAATGGTTTTTCATTTTCTGTTCTTGAACAGTATTTTAAAGCTGTACTCCAGAGTGCCTTGCAGTCTCATGATGTGGCGTTATTCTTTGCTGTTGTTAATTTTCTCACCACAGAGCAAAAATCAGCTTCTTCCACTAACAACGTTGTTTGTCATGTAGTTTTCTGCTTCTGAATACCTGAATATTTTGACAAACACGCAGGGGTTGAAATAAACGAGTAATTAAGAAAGAACACT